TGGGCTCTGATGATGTAAGGAGCAAGATCTGTGTTCAGGAAAGCAGAACCCTTCCTGTGATCCTGAAATACCAGATATGTTAGGTTATACCAATCCTTGAAGTTCCTATCTCTTCTAAGAATCCATATTCCAGAAACTTACTTGCAAAGGAATATTCACGTCACTTTGCTTTCCTAATACAAAGTTTCATTGTCAGAGTGTTAAATGGAAAGTTGCATTATGCAAATATCTGGAGTATGGCCAGGCACATTGGGGAATGCTAACTATAGAAGCAGTCAATCATTTCACCAGTGGGATAGGAGAGAAGATTGCCATCACCTCCTGGAGTAGAACTCTAAAAATGACACCAATCCAGGAAATATGCCACACTGAAGGACAGCACTTTCACAGTGTAGAAATGCGAGTACAGAATAAAGTGATTAGAGAACCACTTTTAAACAGTTAGCAGCAACTCTGATGGTTTAAGGTAAGCAAGGATATGTATGGATGCTGGTCAAACACAGACCCAGCCTTGTCAGCTTCAACCTTTATCACTGCACCTTCCATGGGAACATTTGAAGCTTTTGTGCAGAATGTGCAGAGCAGGGACACTTGGCCTCTAGTCTTTCTTCTTCCTTCTACTGGATGGAGGTGGACTTTGGGAGATCAGAAATGCATGCTGGTGAGAAAATGCGTTATGGGTATTTGCAGCTATTGGCTGGAATTCCAGCATGTTACAACTTGCTGTCAGACTCTAGAAGGCATCTGAGTTACTTGTGTTTCAGGTACCACTTTTCAAATGTCCATAATGATGTTGGTGTGACAGAGCTTCTCTCAAAAAATATATATACAAACAGCTTAACTTACATACTCAGAGCATATAACACATGGCCACAGCTTGTATTATCCTAAGTATTTGCCAGGATTAGTTTCAGGGATCCTTTATAGTAAGTTGTCCAAATCCATAGATTCTCAAGTGTCTTATTTCAAATGGTATTGGTACAATATTGGCCTGTGACTCAGGCTTATTCTGCCAAATAGTTTACTTACTTTCCAGGTGATTGAAAATACATAATAAAATAAAAATGCTATCTAATAGTTTTCATGCTCTACTATCTAGGGAATAATGAAAAAGGGAAATATCTATGCACACTCAGTATAGATGCATGTTTTTCCTGGACATTCCTAATGCATGGTTAGTTGAAGCTGCGAATGTGTAAGCCATGGATGAAGAGTGACTACGGTGCACTTCTGGGTGACAATTGCATATCTCTTCTCACAAGAATGTAAAGACTCAGGAGTTGAAGACTGCCATTTTTTTTCATGTACATGTGTGGTAAGAACACTTACTATCTATCCCATTAAAGATAATCAATACATCATTACTCTAGTTACCATCCTTGTATATCTTTCCCTAAAATGAATTCCTCATATACACTTTTAGTAACTTCTCTCCCACTCAGTTTTTTCCATACATTGCTTTTATATTTTAACATTTTTGTTATTCATTTTGCATCCTGATTAATGTCTCCTTTCCTGGTCCCCACCTCTGGAAATACCTCCCCCATACCCTCTTTTTTTTTTTTTAGAAGAGGGAGACTCCTTGGGTAGCCTCCACTATTGCACATCAAGTCTCTGCAGGGTTAGGCACATCCTCGCCCACTGAGGCCAGGCAAGGCAGCCAAACTAGAAGACCATATCCCATGGACAGGTAAAGACCAGGCTGCACATCTGCTACATATGTGCATGGAAGCCTATGTCCAGCCGTTGTATGTTCTTTGGTTGGTGGTTCAGTTTCTGTGAGCTCCAAGGATCCAGGTTAGTTGACTTTGTTGGTCTTCCTGTGGAGTTCCTATCCCCTTCAGGGCCTTCAACCCTTCCCTCAACTCTTCCATATTAGTCCCCAATCTCCATCTAATTTTTGGCTGTGGGTTTCTACATCCATCTGAATCAGCTGTTGGGTAGAACCTCTCGAAGGACAGTCATGCTAGGCTTATGTCTGCAAGCATAACAGAGTATTATTAACAGCATCAGGGATTGGTGTAAGACCACATGGTATTTATTTTTGTGCTTCTGACTTATGTATATGGTATCTATTTTGGCATTGTTTTTGCAAAAAACAGGATTTCCCTATCATTAAAAAATGGTTGAATGGTATACTAAAATGTGTGTTTGTTCATGTGAGTGTGTGTATATGCGTATTTGTAAGTACCTGGATCTATATCCCAAAACAACACATTTTGGATCTATTCAAAAGTTGTAGGTTTATCTCAGTCATCAAGAATGATATTGCAGTGAACATGGTCTGCAGACATCTGTATGATGATTTTATTCCTTGGGTATGACTCTATCAGTCCTTTAGTGGGGGGTACTATATCTTATAATATTTCTAGCTTTAGTTTTGAAGTACCTCCTCTATACTGTGTCTCATAGTGGTTATACTAATTTCAATTCTCATCAGCAAGTTTTTAAGAAATGGTGGTTATGTTAATTAGCTTGACCAGTAATCTAATCATTTTACCATGTATTTGTATGCTAAAAATGACACTGTAAACCTGAAACATAGATTCAGCTTGACTTAATGATGGAGTTGTGTCCCAATAAACAAACAGTAGGTTGAAAATGTTTTAATTGAAAAGTTAATATAACAGAAATAACAGACTAAAGATAACAAAGTTGTGATCCAAAGATATGGAGAGTGGGTCATTGTGAATGGCTAGGATTTGCTGATCAAAGTGCTTGCTGCCCAGCATAACCAGAGCATGGCATCAAATATCAGTAGCCAGCAAAGGATTAAAATTTAATTTGGAAGCATGATTTCCACAAAGCATATTTTATTTCTGCAGTAGTGTAGAGTTGAAAATTCATAAAACTACTATAAGTCAGGGACAGTCTTTATTCATTTTTTATTCATCGGTTTTAGGTTTTACTTCACCAAAGCATGACAATGTAATAATGATTTCAAAAAGGAAATTAATATCTGAATAGGAGTAAGATGGAATGAGATGTCAATGGGGCCTGGACCAGGAAGTTGAAGGCAAAATTAAAATGTGTCAGGGTCAAGGAAAATGATACTAATCTCATATTTCAAATGGAATCAGTGGAAGCATTTTATACTTTATGATAAAATGAGCCTGAGTGGAGGTAAAGGACATGGTTGTTCTGTTTTTCTACTCCTCTCTCCTTTCACACATGCTTTCTTTCTTTCTTTTTTAGACAAATATTCTCTAGTTTTTTGGGGCTGACATACATGTTGAGCTTGGGCACAGGCAGTCTTAGAGATGATGTCAACTCAGGGCCACCAAGAGAAGGTGCAAGTGTGCATGAATACCATCACACTGTGTGAGGGGGCATCATGGAAGTAGGAGAACTTAGAAGTGAGAGAACTTGGAAACCTGAACAAATGTGGCAAAGAAAAATGAGGAATGGACAGGACTTCAGTTTGGCTCTTGGGTGACTGGGATAATGGGGCTCCCACAAGCTAATGATGGGCTTTGTTTTGGAGGTCACAAACATGCAAGCTACAGGTGACAGGGTGTGGGTAGAATATATTCAACTATATGGGGTTGAGATCCAGGTGGTCTGAGGAGGTAGGTAGAGAACATAGGGGAGAATTATGGTCAAACATATGAAAGGAAAAACAACTGTTTATTTGGAGGTTTTAGTTTGCTTCTATTGCTGTAATAAAGAGTACCAACAAAATCACCTTGGGGTAAGGAATAGGTTTATTTGGTTTATACCTGTAGATAAAATCCCATCATTGAAGCAAGCCAGGGCAGGAGTTTAAACAGGAACAGAAGAGAATGCTGCTTACTGACTCTTTCACTGGTTCATGTGCAGCTAACTATCTTGGACACCCAAGATCTCCAGCCCAGAGTAGACTGGGCTTCCTCTATCAATTAGCAACCAGGCCAATCGAATCTAAGTAATTTCTCAATTAAGGTTTGATCTTTCCAGGTGGTTCTACTTTGTGTCAAGTTGACAAGAAGAACTAGTCAATTCACTGTATGGCCTGGTTCCACAAACCTAAGTCTATAATTACTGGAAGTTGATCTGGAAGGACAAAATATAATAAGACAGGACTAAACACTAGGCCTTTGTGTTTGTTCAACTTCTCGGAAAGGAAGAAATAGGACAAGACATTGAAATACTTCATGCTATCAATAATAGTTTTCAGTTATACCCAGTAAGTCCAAAGGATGTGTTCCTCAACAAGATCACACTTAGTTCAGGTATCAGCTGTGTTGCAAGAGTCCTGAGGGCCTCTGTGCTCTGGTTGCCTGGTTATGAGTTTTAGGAGTTGCCATGACCTTATTAGATGGGATTATTTATTGAAATCAGTCAACAGAGATGCTGTCAATGAGGTTAGGGAAGAGCCTGTGGAATCAAACATGATACCTCCCATTGCTTGCAGTATATCCAATTGTTCAGCAGCCAGAAGAGTAGGTAAGCTTCAATATCTAGAGTTTTATTGAAGTTTAGTTGATTGAATAAAATCACTATTTGTATAACTGAATTTTTGTCCAACCTTATCTTCTCCCCAAAGATTGGACTAGAACCAGTGCTTTTAACCTCTAATCATATTTTATTTTGTTTTGACCTTGTCTCTTTGAACCAAATTCTCCTTCCAATTCCTTATAGACCAAGACTATTTCCTTTGATATGCGATGATATTTTAGCTACTGGATATACTTGCATACTTTATCTTGCCCCAAAGTGGTCTATATGGGTGGAGATGTGTGTGGTAGTTATGGCACTAGAATACTTATGACAGTGGACAACTAAATGAGAGACAAAGGAGCATGGTGCCTGTGATGTGACACACGTGAAATACATGATGGTCATGTTTGACAAAGCAATAAGGGCAAAGAGCCCAGCACATACCAATTTAATGGAAAGAGCACATTTGCTCTTTTTCAATGGTGATGGACTGGGGGGTGGGGAGAGCAACCAGGAGACATTGAAGATGAGTCCCCAAAGGAACAGGCCATGAAGCTCACATCTCAATTTATTGTTCACAGGAATAACCCTGTACAGCCACCCATATGGAGGAGCCTTGCTGAATGAAGACAGGATGTAAGTGGATAAAATGATAGGGGGGGGTGAACAAAAGAAAAACTCTAAGATGCTGAGGAGTGATTTTGATCCCATTTCAACATTTTCCAGGAGAGATGATGTCACAGATAGCTTTAAAGTGCGAAGTGCAAATGGCTGGCAGAAAATGGGTGAAAATACTATTCAATTGTGGTTTTTGTAAAAGAAATTGTTTTTTTATGAAAGGAATTGTTCCTGTAGCCTCTGGACAGCACACAGTCCAGAAGGACTATTCACGTTAACAGCATAACGTGAATATGCCACTCACATAGGTAAACATGTGGAGCCTCCCTGAACATTTCTCATGCATGAAAAAACTCACAGTCCACAAGAAGTACAGATGGAAGTGGGTGGTATTGTTGCTTTGGTGCATTTGGGGCCATATTTAAGTGTCATGGATCAACACCTTGCTCCTAAGTACATTGTTTCTGCCCTCATTCTCTCCCTCATTTCTATTCTGTTCCATATAGCTGACAATCACTTAGTTAAAACTCAATGATAAAAATATTATTTATATAATCCTCTGGCCTGCCAAGTGGAGACCATATATCTTGATGAATATGCTTTCCTTAAATAAGTAATGAAACAGCAAAGGTGAGCTGCAGTTTGCCTTGTTACCTCTACTGTTGTAGAGTTCTACCTTCAACAGTCTCTGACACGTGACCTTAGTTCTAGGGCAGGCTAGCTGATGACTGTTGTAAAATAAGGTGTGATAGATGGAAGGCATAGCTTAATGGGTGCTGTGTGATGAAAACATTCATTGTGTCAGACAGCTAAAAGACTGCTTGTGCCTACCTGCTTTCAGAAATAGACAGAATGGCCAGTGGCAGTGCTTGCCTCTAGAGAACTTTCTCCACCTCCACCTGTCTGAGAGACTGGATGGTATAATCATGGTGATATGTGGCCATTTAGAAAGCATTTGGCTTTCCCAACACCTAAGTCTGGACTTGAGCCAGTGAGGTGAGCAGCCCTACAAACACCCCTCCTGCACAGCAAATGGATTTTAGACCCAGGAGCTGAATGTTGCTCTGTGGAGGTTTACTGTTTAACTGAGAGTCAGATTACATGATTAAGAGTAGGGTGAGACAGGAAGATGCTGAAATACCCTTCAGCTTTACGTTTGTCTATTCTATTCATTTTTGTGTGTTGTGTAAGCTCTGAACAATAACCCACATCTTTGAAGAACTTGAGGGACTGAATGAAGGAGAGAATCCATACATTATTGGCAGTGTGCCTGGCCTTCCTTCTTACCAAGTGTTAATAATAGAAGGAAGTTCTTCTTTCTTTTATATCTGATGAGCTGTTACATTATCTTCTGTCTACAGCCTGGAGAGCATCCGCCAGTGTGGTGTTGCCCTCTGCATTGTCCTGGGATTCTCCATCTTGTCAGCATCGATTTGTAGCTCGGTGGTGAGGGACAGAGTGACTGGAGCTAAAAGATTGCAACATATATGTGGCCTTGGACACAGGACATATTGGCTAATTAACTTCCTGTATGACATGGTAGGATTTGTGAATGTGGTTCTTGTATGAATATGGTGGATGAAGGGCCTAAGCCACATAGGGGAGTCCACAAGGGAAACACTCATTCTGTTGGCTTAGAGTACCTACCAGTTTGCCTTTACCAGGTACCATCAGACATTCAGGATTGCTTTATGAGAGGAAGACTCAGGAATCATGAGCTCTGAAACCAATGAACCCCCAGTTTTTTATTAGGGAATAAATGACTGAATAGCAGCTGGAAGGTAAGATGGTAAAAACTATTAGAAATGACCTCTCATCTGTATCCCTAACCTCTGCCCTCAGCGTCAGTACCTCCCTGTTGTGGTAGTGGATACCAGAGTTTTCTACAGTCTCAAAATCACTAGATTTTGTCTTCTGTTCTTTCTATGGCAATATCAAGTCCTTGTTGAGTTGTTGCCTAGAAGGCCAGGAGTTTTCAATGCATTTACTCTGATTTAGATTTATTGATCTTGCACAACCACCACTCCTGCTATCCCTACGAAGCAGAGCTGGCATTTTTGTACAAATGAAATATCTGTGCATTCATGTCCTCATGGAGATGATGCATTCTAAGATGTGAAAAAATCCTATGTGAGCAGAAGGCAGGGCAGGCCTGAATCTCCCTGGGAGCCTCCCATTCATCAGCTTCTAACCATCTGTGTTGTTTTACAGAACTCATGTGTTGGCAAGCTGGTCTTAAGCAATGTTTACTCCTCTTAACGGATTTAAAACTTCACTGATTTGTTTGCTTTTGATCTTGTAATCTAGATGCATTCAGTTATATAGATTATTTAAGTCATACCAGAGAACATTCAGGAGTCTATTACGTACCTTCATCCAGCACTAAAGATGCCTTGTAAAGCTCAAGATGGCGAACTGCTGGTCCACACAGGCTTTATCTTTGTTAAGCCATGCCTCTTCATAGAGATGCAGTGGCTCCTCAAGAATGATGCTTCTAGTTGGTCAGAACCTCACTTCAGTACCCCCCACTCAGCTCTGTCCCTAGTACCCCAGTCTTAGGACTCTATGTTCACCAGCATTTTCCAGCTAGTGGTCCCAGGGAATGGTAAGAATGTGACAACAAAGAGCAGGAGCCCAAAGAATGACACACCATGACACTACAGGCAAACCAAACCCTTAGGACCCTGAAATTTCCCCTCTTTTCTGTGCTTTATTATCTCCTTATCCCATATCCTGAATGTGGCCCTTGTTCACTCTGTCATGGGTAGACTTAGGGCTTAAGGGCAAGAAGGACTTTTTGCTACTTGGCTGGTTTTTTCCTTTCACGTTTACTCAGTAATTTCCTGTTTATTCTGTTCAATGGCTCAATCAATGAATATTGTTGAGGCTCTCTTATGGGTCAGGGTGTGTGCAAGATTGCTGCAGAGTAAACATCATTATTTCCCAGCATTCAGTGTTCAAACATTCTGTAGTGAGATAGTAAAAAGAATTGGGATCCTTGGAAAAATGACTAGATCAAGAGGATGTAGCTTTCATGAATAAATTAGTATCTGTATAAAGGGGATGTCAGAGAACTCTTGTACCCCTTCCACTACGTGGCAAAACCATAGAAAATGCACTGGTTCTAAATTGAAAAGTAGGTGTTCACTATATACTATGTTTGTTAGTGTCTTGCTCTTAGATTTCTCAACTTCCAGAGCTGTGAGCAATGGATCCCTGTTGTTTGTAAGTCAACTAGTCTATGTTTTTGTTTCACCCACTCAATGGACTGATTGTTGGTCCTAAATATATGGTTGATGGAGTAGATCTGTCCCTTAATAGAGCGCACATTCTTATTGGAAGAAGCAGACAGCAAATACACCAGATATAACTGATTTATGACTAGGTCATTTGTGAGAATAGAAGAGGATAATGGTATAAATATAGCTTTAATTCAGGAAGTTAGAGTAATAGATTACATTTCAGCAGAGTTTTAAAGAGCAAAAAGGATTCAGCCCCATGGGTTAGTCAGAAGAAGTACTCTGTGGTCAGCATCCCCACAGAAGCAATAGCTAGATTTAGAACTGTCCAAGGAAGGCCTGGGGATGCTGTGTGTTGCCTGTTCTGCAGAGTCCTTGAAGGAAAGGCTGTAGGGAAAGCAGGGTAGGGAAGATCCACCCCATCCCCATATGTATTTGTGTGTGTTTGTGTGTGTGTGTGTGTGTTATGTGGGGTGTGTGTATGTTTTGTTTCTAGGACTATTCCTTGGCCCATCGTAAGGGAGATAGGCATAGGTCCTCTGGTAGGTTATTTGAGTCTGTTTCCTCCTGAAGGACCTTGGGACCTAATACCAAACATGGTCACGTTTTGAAGATCTGGGTGTTTAGCCCATCGATGTTTGGAGGAACACAACCAAGCCCATAACAGTGACTCAGCACAATGGACTCAAAACATCTTTGAATATGCAAAGCAGGAACTACATTTAAGTAGAAATTGAATGGAAATTGCAGAGTAAGTAGAGCATGATTAATGTCCCCATCTAATACAACATATCCCCCTTTGTTTTTCAGCTCTTTTACTTGGTTTCCGTCTGCCTGTGTGTTGCCATTATAGGCGCCTTCCAGTTAACAGCTTTCACATTTCGGGAGAACTTGGCGGCCACAGCCCTCCTGCTAGCACTTTTCGGGTATGTGATGAGAAACACGGCTGCAGAATTATGGTTTGTTTTCTGAGAAGGAAAACCCTCAGGATGGCTTTGAACCTGCTGTCTGCTTCATGATTTTCTCTCTTCTCAAGCAATTATGTTACTCCTACCAGGGCTGCTGAGCAAACAAGCTTGAACAAGATGATGAATGCCCTGTAGAGGAGGGGAAAGTTGATGCGGTCGTAATAAAGACGGCATTGGTCCTGCCTCAGAAAGGCCCTCAAGCTGTTTGACAAACCTGTGCAGTGGGAAATGGATTCTCTGTTATTCTCACTTTGACATTAATCGTGGGCTCAAATACATAATCCAGTTAGCTCAGAAACTGCATTTGTGGAGATTCTCTTGTGAAGCTATCTGGCATATTTTTTTTCCTCTTCTATAATATTAGTAGCTTAGAAGTATTTTGTGTGACTTCTATCACTTTTTTCCTCAGAGGAAAAATTGTAAAAGTAGAAAAGCTATTGCAGAAATCCTCATTTATAGACTCTGGATGCTCGCAACTGCTTCCCAAATGACACCCGCCTGGTTGAGAAAATGAATTGATGTACTAAGATATTTTAAAAACAAAACAAAACAATACAAAACAAAAAACAAAAAAATCCCAAAACACCCCCACCCCTTGATTTAAGCCAAAGGCTATAACTAAAGTGAAATTTACACATTTTGCTGTCATTCCAGTGATCTAGAATTATTCGAAGTATTTAACTAGGGGACAATATTTTGCCTAAACAAGGGTGTGTCTGCCATCAGATGAATGGATAGCTGAATATGAATCAATGGATGGGAAAGTAGGGAAAGGTACAAGGCAAGCAGTTCTAGCAGGAATATTGATATGCCACTTACCCTGCGGCCTTGATAATATGAATTCCCATATAAACCTTGTTTCTTTCCTGTAAAATGTCAATTTTGTTGCTAAAAAGTAAATGAGATAATCGCTGTAAACATTAGGGACAACTGGCAGAGTCATTACATTAATTTTAGGCATTACTGTTACTCATAGAATTATCTTTTCCTTTAGAGATCACCATGTGCTCACTAAAAGAATGGTTGTGGAACATGATGTTATACTCAATTTAAAAGTTATGAGCTCATATATAAAGGGCTGTATGTTTGTACCCTGATCTTGCTATCTTATTTCAACTTATTAATCTCATTTAGTGGAAAGTGTTGTTACATTTCATTGTAGCGTGGGCAAAATAAGCCTCGCTATAAAATTATGTTTGAATTTTAGAGGGCCAGGCTTCAAAAATAATGACAAAATTCTGATGAAGTTAAATGGTTCAAAACTTAATCTTATGAAATGTGTTTTTAGAAAATGTTTAACTTGATTACATTATGCTATAAACTTCTATGTTTGCAACTAAACATTTTGGAAGATTTCTGGAGAATCATAGGTCTATGGATGCATAGTCATGATTTACCAAGAGTGATAGACTTCCTTGTTACTCTATTGCTGTGAGGAGACACTAGTACCAGGACAAATTATAAACTAAAGCTATGTAAGGCATGGCAGCACATGCCTTTTATCCCAGCACTTGGGAGGTAGGGGCAGGGAGATCTTCTCTGTGAGTTTGAAGCCAGCTTGTTTTACATACTGAGTTCCAGTACAGCCACAGCTATTTTTAAGACTCTGTCTTAAAAATGAATGAATAAAAAAATGAATGAATAAATAAATAAATAGAATGTAAAGATAAAACTAAACCACTTAATTGGGGGCTTGTTTACAGTTTTAGAGAGTTAGTTCATTATCATCATTGCAGGGAATGTGGCAGCAGGCAGGTAAGCACAGTTCTGGAGCAGTAGCTGAGAGCACACATCTGATAAGCAAGTTTCAGGCAGAGTGAGAGAGAGAAAGAGAGAGAAAGAGAAAGAGAAAGAGAGAGAATCTGATGTGGGCTCTTCAACCCTAACTTCAAAGCCTATCTCAAGTGACACAGCTTCTCCAACAAGGCCACATCTAACTCAACAAGGTCATACCTCCCATTCCCTCTTCAACAATTCCACTAACAGGAACCAAGCATTCAAACCTATGTGCCTGTCAAAGACCACCCTTGGCTTGGAGAGGGGTTCTGAGGATGGAAGATTTGGGAGCAATGAAAAGAATGACCTAAAGTCAAATCATGTGTCCAAACTGACGGCTTGTGTTCCTGAGACAGTTTTCCAGATAGCCCTCTGCTTGAGACAGCTCTCTCTTGCTCGAAAAAAATTCTAAAACTCTCTGGGTAGCTCATCTCTTGCAGGTCAAAAGCCCAGTCTTTTAGATCAATTCAATCATTCTCTCCAGGTTCCCTTTTGATTATCTCATGAATCACCATTGCATGATCTTAGCCCCTTGATTCTTAGAAGACAGCAATTACACATTTTTTTTTTAAACATGGCAAATGAAATCAGAGATCTATCTGTCTTTGTAAGCATAAAAAATAAACTTAGCTTGGTGGGATCCTGTCCTGAGATTACCATTCTAACCATGCCTAAACCTAAATTACCTCTGTCCTAGGATGACCTAGAACTCAAAAATCTACCTTCCTTTGTATCTATCTGCCTGCCTTTTTATCTTTTTGACAAGCTGGCTCATAGTGCAATATTCTGAAAGAGCAAGAACCAAGAGATGCTAGTTGTGACATATAATGAGTCAAAGGACTTCAAAGGTTCTTCTTTCATAATTGGAGTATAGCTACAGATGTAAATTTGGAACCTGTGACCCCCTACTGTAGGACCTCAGTATTGGCAGCTAGTTTCAGGCTCCAGGCTATCTCTGGATGAGGAAAGTAGAGGGACTCCTCCTCCTCCTTTTCCTCCTCTTCCTCCTTTTCTCCTCCTTTTCCTCCTCCTCTTCCTCCTCCTACCCTATCCCTTCTCCTCTATCTAGTCCTCATTTCTCTTTTCCTACTCCTCCTCTTCTTCCTCCCAGAACCTGTGGGTGTCAGGAACCAAAATGCAAACTAAGAAGCCAACTCCCAGGAAATGCAAAAACCCAAGGACACTTTCAAACTTGAAATAAATCTATTCATTAACTGTTGTATGAGAGATAAGGATCAGAATAAAGGAACCAAGTCTTATGAAAATTAAGACTACAAATGTTCACAATAATTTGACTTTCTACCAAGGAAAATGGGTATGTAAACTCTGACAGGGTAGGCAGCAGGTTAGCATTAAAAATAGTAAAGTATACTGGAAGTTTGAGGATGAGCTCTGGGCTAGTCTGAGCTGCATAAAGAGGCCATGTCAGATGAGAGAAGGCAAGAGGGGGGTGGAAGTGAGATGGAGGTGGTAGGCAAAGACAGAGATAGATATATAGAGAGACATGGCAGAGACAGAGACAGAGATATACACAGGAGACAGAGACAAAGACAGCAAGATAGAGACAGAAACATAGAGACAGAGACAATGATAGAGGTAGAGAATCAAGGATAGAGAAGGATAGAGAGACAGAGACACAGAGTGGGAGAGACTCAGAGACAGGTGACAGAGAGAAATGAGAGGCAGATATACACAGGATGTGGGAGATACATACATAGAGAGAGATAGAGACAGACACAGAGACAGGAGAGGGAACAAGTAATGTTGATCATAATAGTACACACCTTTAATATTAACACTCAGAACTTTAGAACACAGAGGCAGAAAGGCCAGCATGAGACCACATATTAAGACTTTTTCTTAAATATCCCAACAAATTAAAACAAAACAAGAAAGTGACACTAAAAGTATCTGAAATAAAAGGCAGATGGCTTAGATTAAAAATGTAAAGTTAAGAACATACTTGGTGCATGTTTAGTGCTAAAGGATTGTGACAGTGAGAGCATAGACTCCTGTTTGTCCTCCAGGGACATTCACACAACAGAAGGAAGGGGCAGTTGTCAGGAGGAGAGTACGATATGTTCTCATAAATTCCAAAGTACCTGCAAATAGTATGCCGACCTCCAGTGAATTATACAATCATTAGAATGATGAGTTGTATTTTAATAAAAGAGTAGACAGTGTTAAAAGCCACAGTAGGTTTCATATAAAGTAAATTATGCTCTATAAGTCAATTTAAATTTTCCCTTAACATTTAGAAAAGGCTGGTATGGGGGCTGGATCTGCCAGTATGTTAATTTCAACCAAGTGTTTGAAAGGAAAATAATGAAAATGCCGCTTAAAAAAAAATCCTGGAATCATTGCTAGTGGAAAAATCAGTTCAAAGATTCATTAATGCAGGAAAGGAAATCTCCAGGGGTGTCATTTAAGACTATGTCTTTGTCTCTGAGTCTTTTTTCTTAAGACAATGCTTTGATCCACTTGTCAAATACTTGAAGGACATAACCCACTATGAAGACCTTATATAAAGATTCTATGCATTCCCCAGTGGAGTAGAGACCACGGAAGATGTGGTAATTAATTGCTCAAGTATAGCCCAGGGGGTCCAGTTTGACAGTGGGAGGGGAGGCGTTATGAGACCACAATATGAACATGGAGATGCTAATCAAAGCAGATGAGTATCTGCTTTGTGCCATGCCAGCCAGCCACATCAGACACTTCACGGGGAGGGGGGGGGCTCCATGCCCTCCCACAGATTCCTCTAGCTCCTACATCTTCAAGTTCAACAGAGAGAGCTGCCTGGATGCCATATTTTACAAGGAACAAAGAATGGCTAGCACTCCTGTTGTTCTAGTTTAAGTGTACTAGGATCCTTATCTCAGCCTATTAATAATACACCTGTATAAAATAAAAATAATTTGTCTTAGTTTCAGAAATTTGATGAATCAAAATTTTAACACAACACACACACACACACACACACACTTTGCTTATTCTAAGAATTAATCTGATAAAAATTAAATTAAGAACAGGCCTAAAATTTGACATGAAAGCTTCTACTATTGCTTATATGTGTTTCAGTTGTAGGAATAATTTGTCTCCTCCTTCTCTTCTTCCTCCTTCTTCTCCTCCTCTTCCTCTTCCTCCTCCTCCTCCTCCTCCTCCTCCTTCTCCTCCTCCTCCTCTTTCTTCTTTCCCTTCATTTTGTCCTCTTCTTAGACTAGGCTGTCCTTGAACTGTCTATCCTCCTGCCTTACAGCTTGAGCTCTGGAATATAGGTGTGTGTCATCACGCCTGTTTCCCAGTTGCTGAAGGCAATCTTATATGATGAAGGATAACAGTTGAGCTCTGCCCTAGAAAGGACAGTAAGAAGTTTATGCAGAGTTAGGGATGAGATTTGTTTCTTCCTGATAGTACTTTATTTCAGACAGGACTAGTCATAATTAACAGCAGTATCAGTTATAGCTCACCTCTTTGTCAGTTATTTTCATTTTACTTAATTATTTTACATAGGAAATATTTTAGAAACAAAAATGCTTAGAAGCACTTGTCTCCAACATGCTCTTCATGGTCATTATGAAGCAGATTTCTACGAGTGAAGTTTTTGAGATACTATATGTCTTTGTATGTCATACCCTACACATTTTCTCAAGTACAAGAATTTATCTTTTAACACATGGGTGTTCTCTAGAGTAACAGATTATAAATGACCAAATGCTATCTCAAGGGTCAAAAATGTCCCACATGCTTTTGAAGTCTTATAGTTTTCAGAGCAAGTTAATGTTTTAGAGGATGCTCAGGCATTTAAAAGGAACTAGAATATCTCAAGCTAAACAGTCATCACAGGAAACATTGACAGGTCTTCTCTGGGTGTGGCAGGGGGAACATATTTGGGCTCAGAATAGATGAGTCTTTTGCAAAAGCCTATAATTTTGTATAGGTGTCTTCTCTGCCTGTACTTGGGAAGTTCTAAGTGCAAGAATCCTTCGATGAGGTACATTAAGTTGACTGCATTTTACTTTCACAAAAGAAAGCTGAGGGAAAGTGGCCTTGCATGGAAAGCTGGTTCTAGGAGGTAAAATGTGGAAGATGGAAGCAGAGGTTTGCCTGTAGGGGTGTTGGAGTAGCTTCTTGGATCTTGTGATCACTGATAAGGCTCAATATTTAGCAGTGTTCCTTGCTACCAAGGCTTGGGCCCACTAAGATGCAGCTCCATGGCCAGCTTTACCTACAGACTGCAGCAGAAGATTAATCAAGGTGTCAGCCTTATTATGGATACTCTGCCTAAGAGTTACAGATGCTAATGTCATCTTTTAGGTGGTTGGGACATGGGAGGATGATAGGGGACACAGCAGAAATGACAGCACATTCCTTAGAATGAATGAGACTCTACAAATGAAGCTTTCAGTGCTTATGTTTATGTTCTTTGTGAAAAAAAGGTCTGAATATTGTTTTATTATTGGGATCTTCCAATCCCCACTGTAATCAGTGGGTAGCATTACTGCAATAGGCTTGAGAGGCATAGGATGCCATATTGAGAGAAGTGGACAAAGTCTATTGGAAATCTCAGACTCCATGATATTTTGCCTTCACCTTGCAGGGTCTTTGGAGGCCCCAGAAAAAGTCCTTTTTTTGGCAGACTAGTATACATATATTATACAAAGTAAGGAAAACTCACCATTCTAATATAATTATATCTGTACTTCAGTTTTGTTGTGATACAAAAAAATGTTTCAGGAAAAATAAAAAATAATTCTCCTTCTGCTTTTTAGATATGCAATGATTCCATGGATGTATCTGATATCCAGAATCTTTTCCAGTTCAGATGTGGCCTTCATCTCCTACATCTCCTTGAACTTCATCTTTGGCTTGTGCACCATGTTGATGACCACCATGCCCCGGCTCTTGGCCATCATTTCCAGAGCTCAGGTGATTCAGTGTCAGTGGCCCATTTCCAAAGGTCCAAGAGACAGAAGAGTAGGGATGCCCAATACTTAACTCTGTCACCACTTGACAAAAAGGCTGACTCACACAATGTAAAGGAAGGAGGATTTATTTTGTCTCACAGTTAAGAAGGCTTTCACTTTTAATTAGGGCCTGGCAAGACCATGTGTAGGAGGAGGGTGTTAACCTCCTGGTTAGTGCAAGGAAGAGCCTAGGAGCTAGGCACACCCTTCAGAGGTCTGCTTTCAGAGTTCTCCTCTCTACAGACAGAGTCTTCATGCTCAAGTTACAGAATCCCTCAAAATAGTTCCACCATCTGTGAGCCAAGCATTTAGGAATAGTGATTGATTTAAAAACTTCTGTGATGTTGTAAGAGCTGCTCCATGAGTAAGGGTAGACCCACATAGGGATTCTCTGTTTCATTCCCAAAGTCCTTCTCAGGGATGCTCAGATGTCGACTTATTGGTGGAAGAGGAAAGACTACAATAAAGTATGTCTTGCCAAAGTGCCACTGTATCCTGGCTTAAAATCTTCAGTAAGCTGGGCCACAGACTTGTCCATAATCACATGATAGTATGCATGAAGAATCTTGTCTGAGATTCCTTTGTCTTCCCTGGGATGTGTGTAACTTAACACAGTGTCTTTCCATGTATTAGAGGAAAAACAATGCCCTGGTCATGGGCTGTTCAACAGGGAGTGGTTTTCCCTGTGAGTGAAATGCCTAGCCGGCATTAGGGACAAGCTGAAATCCCTTCTGTAGACACATCCCATTTACCCGTTACCCTGGCTCCTTAATGAGGATGTCCTCATGCTTGGCTTCTGCTTTAAAGCACCTGCCAGTCACTCATCATGGCCATTGTAATTTCTTCAGTCTCTGCCTTTTCCTTAGATCTCATATTTAAGTCTTTCTTTCTCTGATTTTTATTCCCACCTCTGGGCACATTACATTCATAAGACTCTTTATGTTCTCATACTCTCTTATTGCTCAGTAGTTTTCAGGTGTCTGATCCACAGTCTGACATTTTCACTTGGGAAGCATACAGTGCTCCCAGTAGAAGGATATGCTGATATTCCCATTTCCAGTGAGAGAGGGAATGAAGCTTGTCCCATTGGGATAGTCTCACTCCTTATGGCTGGGTTCCAGACTTGATACACTCATGAATGATGGCCAACATTATCTCTTATTATTGTGCTTCATATTTGTGTAAACGCAATGAAGTATGTAAATATTAATTTTACATTCAATGAGGGCAATGATCTATTTCAGGGATTTTAGATTTTTCTTTTACAGATTGAGTTTGACACTAATCTGTATTAATATTCTGAGCCTTTAAATAGACAGCTTGCCGAACAATTGATTGGCTTTAACTTGAGGAGAATATTGAAATCAGCAGAAGAGATGCAGAGGCCCTGCTCCACCCCATCGATTTCTAATGTGACATGGTTTATTGAAGATGCTGTAAACTGTGGTAGGGAGGAAAGCAGATTCAATACAGATACAGCTGGGAGAAACCAAAAGCCGGATCAGCTCTGTGAGAGCTAGATAACAGAAGAGAAAGGTAACTCCAAAAGGACAGGGAAGGTGAAACCTTGGAACTAAAGAGGAAGTTAGCCAGGAATGCTTTCATCCACAGAAGTCTAATCTGGTGCTGGATGAAAAAGCAGTGTTATCTGCAAGGATAAACAGTACTGTTCACCTTAAAGAATCAACAGGCAATGGCTGTTTTCTGGAAGAAAATTGTTTGAGTCACTCAGCAATTAGAAATGGAGAACTTTTGACTGGATTTGTTTTGAACTTTCTCCTTCCCTTGCTTTTTATCATGAGACTGTTCGCTAAAGCCATTTAACAATATTTAAATATTCATTCTAATTGATATCACATGTTCATTGTCATATTAAAAAGCATTATGAACTTGTAAAATTAATGAAAGGTATCAAGAATGACAAGTGGCTCTCAGGTTATAGACTAATACAGCCAGTGTTAAGCACTGTTTATGCAGACTGTAGTACCAATATGATTCTTTTCTTTTTGCCAACATACTGTTAAAGAATGATGTGTCTTGGGTTGGGAGGCAAGGGTAGGCATGTATCTCTTTCCCACAGATGAAAATTTCTGCTTCAACTATAACAATTTTAGTAGGTTTAAGATTCTCTATTTTTCTATGTATTAATTAATATGCCTCAATTATCACTCTTCCCAAATCAAACAATTGATTTGTCAATCTATGAATCTGTTTGTATTTTTATTAATTCAACATTCACCTATTACATAATCTTTGTTAATTCTTGTATAAAAATCACTGCGGCTTCCTTAAAATGAGTTATAGAAACATTGACGTCACCATATCATGTCATTAACTCTCAGTCTCCATGTTCAAAGCTATCTACCTGAGACTATCACTAGTAACAGAAGTCCTCTCAGGTGGTATGCTAATTGACACAGGTATAGATCAATGTAGGTTTAGGTGTAGTTTTTCCTGAGAGTCTTGTTACAAACTGACAGGCAGTTGATATTTTTTGTATTGACACAGTAAAAAGTGGGAGAGATGGCCAGTGGGTAGGTCTTTCTGTTACTATACGGACACCAATTTCATTGGAGAGATTTTTTCCCTCTGTTTTCATCTATCCAAAACTGCCTTCAAAAGACCTGGCTTTCTAAGCCACCATATTGGGGAGTACATATATCTTGGGAGTGGTAAAGATATTTCATCCATAACATTCTGCCCCTGGGCTCTCAAGACTCATGGCTTTCTCAGGTATAAATTACAAACTCATTCTGTCACAGTAGGTCCAAAATATTTTACTTGTTGTGGCCCCAATTCTAAAGCATCTAATCTATAAACTTCATCAGATTCAGATGTGAGTGAGACTCAAAATTATATTCCATCCTAACTTCCGTTTAGCTGTGAGCTGGTACAATCAAATATATGGGACAGGTATAGGGCACACATTCCTACTTCAAAAGGGAGATGAGGAAGAGAAGGACAATAGATTCCATCAAGCAAAACTTAGTAAGACATACATATTATATAATCTCAGAGGTAATCCTATCTGGCTCCATGGCTGTCTGAGAGTTTCTCTGAGTAACCAGGATAGGGAAGACCTGCAGAGCCAACCAAAGATAACAGCAAGTTATTGGTATAGGTTATAAAAAAGGAATAGCTTTTAATTGCATCTTTTTTTTCTTTCTTTTACTCTGCAGAATTTGCAGAAAATCTACGATGTCCTCAAGTGGGTTTTTACTATTTTTCCTCAATTCTGCCTGGGTCAAGGGCTCATAGAACTCTGTTACAACCAGATCAAGTATGACCTGACTCACAACTTTGGCATTGATTCTTATGTGAGTCCCTTTGAGATGAATTTCTTGGGTTGGATCTTCGTGGAGTTGACCTTGCAGGGCACAATTCTTCTCTTCTTGAGGATTCTGTTACATGGAGACCTTCTAAGGTGGTCAAGGTATGTACTGAAGGATTCGTGCTTACAGTCTCTGGCTCTTGAGTAAAGAGTGAAGGAAAAGTCCACCTGGGTTTGCAAGATAAAGAAATGTGCCTGCTTGACATTATGATGAATGATTCTAAAAAGTTAAAGATTTATGTTTCCTTTTTGAGTGGGTAAGTATGAGTCACCAAGTAAATGGAAAGAATTTCAAAAGATAAGGTGCCAACCTTTAAAATAATCCTTTCAGTTATCCAGTTTTCTCAATTTATTGTCCACTTTAAATCTACTATTTTTGTTACTTTGTAACACCAAAAGTGAATTTGGTTGATACCATAAAGTAATTCATTTTTACAACTAAACGGCCTTGATTCCTAGAGTCAGGAAAATATAAGACTTTAGTGCAGACACCATATACCTTTGCCAAGTGCATTCTTTTAGTCTATGCCAAGTATAGATGCTAAGAATGGTGTGGTGTCTGTAGATATACAGATGCACCTGGGTGATTGCAAATACACACACACACACACACACATACACACACACACACACGGAGGTTATTTAAGGTATCTTTGCAAAGATTCTAAAACTTTACCAGATAAGGTTCAGTCGACAAGAGCACTACTGCTCTTCCAGTAGACCCTGATTTGATTCCCTCCACCCACACAGTAGATCACAATTATCTGTAACTCTAGTTCTGGGGGGATCTGATGCCCTCTTCTTACCTTTCAGCACACTGAGCACACACAAGATGTACAGCCATATACATGCACACAGCACATCCACACAGATTAAATAAATAAGTAAATATTTAAAAATTCACTTGAAATATACCAGGAATTATGTTTTCATGTTCAGAGTCTACAGGACTGCTTCCCCCAACTTTGCCACTTAACATCCTGACCCTCCCTTTGTCTATATTCCTTTGATTCCTGCTTCAGACACAGATTCTTCCCCACCCTCACCTCTCTAATTATATCTTTATGTTTTTCTGAGACAGTCTCTCAAAGCAGGGATTCTTTATGGAAAATCTATTACCACCTTGTTACTAAACAATCTGTTGCAGGTATTAAGCTCCATTGTTAATATTTTTAGGCAATCCCTTTATACGTATTTTTCTTTCTTTTCTAACGTAACACACCAAGATTACTAAAGTATAGAACCATTTTGAATACAAATCCCAAAACTCTTCTGAACTTGGCCATGATCATTCTGGAATTTATAGATTTCCCAGAGCCGACTAACTCTGAAGTAGAATTCTGGGCACCTTTTAAGTGTAATTGCTTCTCTAGTAATACTTAATACTTCAGTCTGTTTAAAACAGTCAATGGAGAATCCTTTTGGCAGCTTCCAGGCTTCCCAGTCCTCCAACAGTATCAAAGAAATATTCTTTAGTGAATAAAGTTTTTATGTTACTTTAGCAAATATTAGTCGGGCTCTGCTTAAGAACAATGCCTTTGACATCCACAGCAAATAGTCATTAGTGTTATGTTATATTGATGCAAAAGACAAAGATCTGAGACATTGTCTATCTTTCTGCTCCCTAATGACTCACCGTCAAAGCAATTGTGCTCCATTTAATTTATTATTGAAATCTTAATAGAACCCAGTCAGTAATCAGTGCTGAATACGAGTAGCCAAGGTTTTCACCAAGTCCTTCATAGGGAAAATTATGGCAGTCCTAGCTAAAAGTTGGAGAATGAGAAGAACCTGTCCCCTCATGGGAACCAGATAGAGTTTACCCTTTCCACCTGAAATGTGTTTTCTGCATATGACTGGGAACTAGTGTGAAATCCACTTCATTGGACTCCTCCAAGTTAAATTGGCTGCCACCTGAATTTCCTTGCTACCTTAAGATGACAGGTCTCCATTTGCACAGAGCTCTGGCCTGACACCAATCCACATAGATATGTGAATTGGGGTGTGTGTGTGTGTGCCTCTTTTCACTGCAGTCTGGAGCTTGGCTTATGGAATCTCTGATTCCATAAGCCAGCAGAGTTAGAGCAACCATATGGTCCAAATACCAGCTGTGATGAATTATCAGAACAACTCTATTGTGTCTACTGCCCACCTGGATCTTTCTTCTCTTGCACTTTGATTGGTATATGACTGGGCAGAGGTGGAAGAATTAGGAACTTGGTTTGTTTGGATGTTACCCAATAAGTTTTTGCTTGTCATCCACCCATCAGAGTGAGAAGAGTTGAAGAATCTCTCCCTAAAGAGTTGCTTAGTTTCAGTGATATGATCTACAAACATATATACAAATTTCTAGGGAATTTTTATGGCAGGAGGATAGGAATTGTGGAGGCCAACCTCTTAGATATCAACAGAGGGATCACCAGATGATGGTCCTTATGTGATTAAAACAAATAATCTTCAAGCCAAAAGATATTAGTAGATGGAGTTTTATAAAATGAATTAACTCATCCAGTCATCTCTTAGATTGTTAAATTGAATACTTCCCATGTTTTCTGTGCCCACCTTACTTTCTGCTCCTCAGTATTAAGCCTCTGGAGAGCTATCCATCTCATTTTTATCTTTTTTGTTTCATTTTATATGTCTTCAAATATTATGTAGTGACATCTAGCCCCTTCTTCTCTTATCTGTATTATATGTGCAATGGATTATAGTTTTGTAAAATGGTGATTTCAGACTTGGAAAAATTATACAGAATAAGTCATTGGATGACTGTGGACTGACAGTGAATATTTTCTCTTAGCTAGAATGCTCTTTTGTTTTGAAATAATTTGAGAATTGTAACATATATTATGAAAAATGCTCCCCTCTCTATGAATAGATGATTATATGGTTTACAACAACATATCACACCAAGTATAAGGAAGTATGATATGGACATTGTGCTTGGTTTGTACTTGATAATTAAAATGTAGGCACACTGTAGCTTACTGTAGAAATGAAAATTTACTTGAAAGTTAAAAATAGCTAGATGAAAATTCTAATGAGGACCTAATAGTCCAGATTGAGAGTGAATCAGTTAGATATGATGATTAGATTTATGCTTATTTGACAAATATCTGTTGAATATTATATGCAACAACATATGCAAAGCCATCTATATAGCCCTGTATAAAATCCAATTAATACTATAAGTTTAGTATTGGGGTATTGTTTTTGTTTTAACAAAATACCTATATACACTGATATTTTATAATAATATGATCAATATTTTTTGTACCTATCAAAACATCTGTCATGACTTTATTATTCTCCAAATTAAAACTGTCTCTAGTGTTGACTTTTCTCTGGGGCTCATATCCTTTGTATAAAAGAATATGCAGGTAAGATGCTCTAACAGCAGATGCTGGTAATGTCTGAGGGCTCTGCCTTCTGTTTTCACAAGTGTCATCGGGAGACTATTCCAGGACTGTCCCTGCTGGGAATTAATTAACTCTGCCTTTATCTTTTCCAGGGGCCACTCTACCCTGCAGGACACAGTCAAGCCTGCTAAGGACATAGATGTTGAAAATGAACAGATGAGAGTGCTTGAAGGAAGAACTGAAGGAGATGTGTTGGTGTTGTACAACCTCAGTAAAAGTTACAGAAGTGTTTTCAGGAGGAAGACCACGGCTGTGCATGGCATTAGTGTGGGCATACCGCGAGGCGAGGTAACACATCTGCACACTTTATCCTTTTCTCTTGCGAATCCATTAACTGTAGCTGTAATTCTATTTGGGGTGGTTTTGAAATATCTGAAATGACAACAAAAAGCAACCTCCATGGTCCAGAGACTCCCACAATATCACAGAGGCAAAGTTGGAGACAGAGTCTTGGCATAGTGGAAATTTTCCACTGGACTCAAAGTTTATTTTCTTTCATGATTCTTTAAATTTCATGTAACTGGAAAGTTTTAAGAATGGTTTAATTTTTAGAAGGACTTTTCTGAGTACAAATATTTTTTAAAATTCAGTTAAAGATGCAACCCACTTCTTCCATTTTCTTGGTCTACACTTTGCCTTGGGTCCTTCTAGAAGAGTGGTTCTCAACCTTTCTAATGCGTGACCCTTTTATACAGTCCTTTATGTAGTGGTGACTACAAACCATAAAATTATTTTGTTGATACTTCGTAACTGTAGTTTTTAGTGTTACAAATCATATTGTAGGTATCTGCTATACAGGATATTTGATATATGACCTTCAGAGGGGTCACAACCCACAGATTGAGAACTGCTATTCTAGAAGAATGTTATTCTGCAAGGCTAAAAAATGTACATACCACAGCAGCTCTGAAGAAGCCTTTAATCAGAACTGACAGAAGACATATAAGCTGGCTCTTATTTAGACTCAATACATAAAGGGAAATCAATCCTTCAAGTGATTACCTTTAATTAACTGTTAGAAATAAAGGCACACCTGGCATTGAGCAGTCCAGGCTCTAGAGAAACCCAGTAGTTACCTGATTCTCTCATTGTCAACCACCAGCCATGCTCTTTGGCTGAGCAGATAATCCAGATATGAATACCCTGGGGTATACTGAGGCCTATAGACCCATCAAAAGCAATCTAGGAATGACCCAGGTTGAAACCATGATCTCTAGGACAACTGGACAAAATATTAAGAATTATCTTCTAGTTCTTGTTTCTATTTTTTGCTAACTAGCTCTGTAATCTTAATTTATTAAATTTTGAATTAAAATTAAATATATTTAAATCAATATTAATTTCCTCTCTATCAATCCAAGGATGTTTAAAGAAAAAAAAAGCAAAAGAAAGAAACAAAACCTTGGAAGTAGACATGATGCTTCTTGTATTTGAGGTTCCATTTGGGCTATTTGCCATCAGTGTTAAAATCAACTAACGAATCAGCTCAGATCAAAGTTGTGGAAGTTTCCATTGTCTCAGGCATTCTCTGATGACCTACTATATCAAGAGAATGAGGTATGTTCTGGGGAAGTGTGGAAGTTGCTCATGTCATGGCCAGAGGAAGCTAGCAAGGCGGAAAAGGGAGGTACCAAGTTCCAGTATCCTGCAATTAGCTTAGTATTATTGAGAAAAATCCCCAGCTTCCTACATGTAATTCTAAGTTCACTAACCACAACTTTAGGACATGGGTTTCTTCGAACTTTCAAGATTCAAACTGTAGGAAGGTCTCTTTTTTTGAATTCTATGAGCAGCACATTTGGTTGCCTAGATAGGAAGTACCTTGTAAGAACCTGTGAAAAAACAAAACAAAGATAATTGAGATGCATGTCTCTGTTCATGTAAGAATCCATGAACTGCTTGGAAACTAGAAAATTATAAGGAGATACAGTTTTCAGTGTCTGGATAGGAATATAAAGTGCTGGAATGATTTACAATAGTACAGTAAGGCAGGTGCAACAGCAGTCGTGTGGAAGATTGTTACCACAAAGGCAGGATTAGACTGGGCTCTGAAGCAGAGAGGTGATTTGGATAGGCAGATAAGGCATCTTAAGGCTCTGTGTAGTAGGCCTAATAACAGTGACACAAGGCAGGTCTGACTGAGATAGACCCTTATATTGGCTAGGGGAAAGATTCAGTGATGTTGGAAGTAACACAGTGACTGAGGCAGGCACATGGTGACTCATGGCATTGGTAGTGTCCAGAGGCACAGAATGGAGCCAAGTGATAGGTGGCATGAAGGCATAATGCAGATACAGCTATTGTAATATCGAGCAAGCCAGCTGGTGCCAGTAAATATTAGCACTCAGACTTCAGAAAATGGGTCTGAGAAGATCTATGGTCCAAGAAGGACCCTCAAGCATATCATATCTAGAGGTACAAAACAGATACTAGGTCTAGAGAACGGGGTGAGAAAGCCATTTTCACATAGACTTTAAGATAAGATTTAAGAAAGAAATCACCTGTCAAAATATAAAACTGGAGGTTGTTTTCTTAGTTAATACGAGGATTTACTTAGGCTCTGAATAAGAAGTGGATTTACAACATCTTCAATGGAAAAATGAAGGTATGTAGCTACCAACAGATCTATCATCCATTTATTTATCCATCTATCAGCTACCGTATATTATCATCTATCAATTATCTATGTGTCAATTTTTCTGTCTATAATTTATTTAATTTTGTATCCACCCATTTCCCTGTGTGCATATATATATTTATGTTTACAGACACATCTCTCACTTGCTATCGATTTATCTATATTCATATATGTGTATGTATGTATGTTTGTGTCTATCTATCTATCTATCTATCTATCTATCTGTCATCTATCATCTATCAATCTATTTTATAATTGGTATTAATGTTACTTAGTACTTATTCTGTTAAGTTTTATACATTCAAATTAATCTTTTGTTAAATTAATACTGACTTCTCATGTACAAGTCTTACAACAGCATTCAATGCATAAAATACCTTTTATACAATAGCACTGTTCCACAGTACACCAACATCAGAGACATCAACATACTGTCAAAGCAAATGCCATTTCCAATGTAATATTTGATTGTACTTCATGCTTTGCCTCTAATTTTCCTTTTTACTCTTAGTGTTTTGGGCTCCTTGGGGTGAATGGCGCTGGGAAGAGCACATCATTCAAAATTCTGAATGGTGAGACTGCACCAAGTTCAGGATACACCATCATCAGGACTCCTCAGGGGTATGAACCAGAATTTGTCATTTGTCTATTTTCCGCCATACTCATTATCTGCCTGCCATTTCCCCAAAGGAGTGACAAAGACTCTCAGTATCAGTGGCTGGAGCTCAACCCTTGCAGCCATGAAGACAAGATATTTTTCTCAATCTTAAAGTCTGTCAATATTTGTATCATGCTTGCCATTTTAATTTAGCATGCTGGCATAGCTGTGTATTTACATTTAGTTTTGCCTATTATCTGTGTGTTCACACTCATTCATGCCTGTTTGTAGAGAAAGAAACACCATGTCTATTTAGCAGAACAATAGTACCAGGTTCTTCCTTATGCCTCTCTTAGCTAGCCACAGATTTTTGGCCCAATTAATGGTACATGTTGATTGATTATTATTATCAATAATAATATTGATAATAATAATCTTATTGTTTGTACTTCACTCATTTGCCCAATACTTCTTTGTTCTATTGTAAATGATGTTTTAATTTTGGATATTCATTGAAATAGAAATTCTTTGTTGTTGTTACTGATTTTTTTTGAGACAGTTTTTTATGTAGGCTGGTATCCCACTCAGAGATCTGCCTGCCTCTGCCTACCAAGTACTGTGATTAAAGGTGTGCACTACTACTTCCCAGCTGAAATAGAAATTCTTATTGTATATCCCCATAATGAACATTGTTTAGATTTTGTTTTTAGTATTCTTTTTCAGTTCCTTACATTTATAATTGTATGTATATAGAAATTTGCAGCTATACTGGGGTCAATTTTTGTCCCCCTATCTTACTTGTGACTTTTTGAACCCTAAGTAGGGTTCAAACCCTACTTAGACTACGTAGACTTCATTTTTTGAAGTCATAAAATCTTTCCAAAGATTCTTTATTTTAATGTATTTAATTTATAAGGAGTTTATATTAGAACCCTTTGTATAGCAGAAATATAATTTGATTTATTTTCTATCTGAATAATGTCTCAAATTTTTCTCAACAAAATACCTTTATTACTTAGTCATCAGCATCTCTTCTATTATACTGGGTCCTTGTCTGGCTGGGTATTTGGCCTCAACTGCATTGTACCAAGGCACATCTCAGTGTACCTCTTTTTGGTGGACTCTGGCTGAGCTAGGAACCAAGTTAGTATAAGGTAGAATTGTAAGAGAATATCATAGAATATTTTTATTGGCAGTAGGTTTCTCTCTCATATAATACATCCTGACCACAGTTTCCCCTCTCTACACTCCTTATAGCTCTACTCAACTGCTCCTTTCCTCAGATTACTCCTTCTTTGTTTCCTTTCAGAAAAGAGCAAGTCTCCAAGAGAGGAAAACCAACCATTACAAAATAAGATACTATAAGACATGGCTAAATGTCTCATATTAAGACTGGACAAGGCAACCTAATAGGAAGAAAAGAGTCTCAAGAGCGGGAAAAAGAGTTAGAGACACACCTGCCCCCACTGTTAGAAGTCCCACAAAACCACCAAGTTAACAGCCATAACATACATACAGAGGACCTGGTGTAGATTATCAAGGTCTCATGCTTGCCACTTCAGTCTCTGTGAACCCTGTTTAATTGACTCAGTGGGTCATGTTCTTCTGGTGTCTTCCATTCCCTCTGATTCTTACAATCTTTCTTCTCCCTCTTTCACGGGATTCCCAAGCTCTGAAGGGAGGGATCTGATGGAGCTCTCCAATTTAGACTCTCTCTGGCTGTGGGTCTCTGCCTCTGCTCTCTATGCTGCCAGAGGAAAACTCTCTGATAATGAATAGACAAGGCACCGATCTATGAGCACAGCAGAATATCAGTAGGAAATCCCAGTGGAACATCAGTGGCTACAGGCATAGGTTTGTTATTTAGTCTGTTCTAAACTGTTATTTAGACAGTTCTAGTGTCCCGTTTTCATTGATTAAGGGGCCTTCCACCCTCCCTCCCCTACCTACCTCTCCTTCCTTCCTTCCTTCCTTCCCTCCCTCCCTCCCTTCCCTTCCTCCCTTCCTTCCTTCCTTCCTTCCTTCCTTCCTTCCTTCCTGCTTGCTGTAGCTGATGCAGGTGGGAACAGAACAGGCAAGCCAGATTCCTCTTTCGTTAACCAGGCTTCCTAGGCCCCTTCTAACTAAAGTAACTGCTCTACACCACTGTGGTATTTTGTGTGTTTTATGGTATTTTGTGTGTTTTATGGTATTTTTTGTGTTTTACCCCACTTTCCTCTACATTGTCTAATATTACCAGCGTGTCCTTCCTAGTTTCTGTTTGCAATAATTTTGGGACTTCTCTGCTACATATTTTATTACAAACTCACTATTTTGAGTCTAATTATATCAACTTCTACTGCAATTTGAAGCAAATTAGCTTTTTTTGTGACAGTTTGTCTTCACTGTCATTGACTCACTATGGTGTATTCTGACATTCATCCAAGCCAGTTTAGAAACAACAGTTCCTTAGGTCTTGAAATTTACCTGATGGGGTCCTTGCTTATCTTCTAGGTTGTTTATCAGGTGAACTTGACCCCAGCAGGAGTTAATTTGCTTCTTATGTGCTTGTACATTACATTTTCATAAGATTTGCCTATGAATTTTTATTCCTGTAGTTTACATTAAAACTGAGTTATGTGGGTTTATTATACATATTCATTTTTATATCCTCCCCATAAACCTCCTGTCTGTCCTGGTTTCTACATCTTTGACCTTCTCCGGATGTATAGCATCAAAACAGGCCTTTAGTGGGGAGCTAGGGTCCTCATCACATGGTTACATGGAGATTGGCCTATTTTCAACCTCTTAGAACTTGATGCTGTGGTCCTATGCATGCTAATCCAGTGTGGACAAAATGAGCTGCTTGCTATAATAGAGATACTCTCAGCCTCTTGTGATGAGGAATGTTGTTGTGTTCTAACACAAAACCCAGGTGATCACCATTTGAATTTGAATTTGGTCTCATGCCATGTAGCAGTCTTTTAGGGCTTTGGATCTTTTCACCTCCATAAGGACAGATGAGTGACTCTTTTAGTGGGGTTCAAATGTAGACGCAGACACATGTGGTCATAAGCATGGCTTATAGAATCCATTTCATACTTATAGTACTGTGTACTTTTAAGTGTGATTATTTATTCTAAAAAATACGCTGCTACAATGAATATAAAAAATAATTCATTGACTACATATTTTAGATTTAAAGTAAGAAAGAGCATTGTAACCATAGTTCCCCAGTATAAATTTTAATTGACTTAGTATTGCACAGATTGTCATGCAAAGAAAGAGGATTTTGGATGATAGTGTATTTTTCTCTTTCACAAATGATATATTTTACATCAAAACAAACTTAAATTAAAAATATTTTATTTTTCATTTAATGGCAATATTTCAATGTATTGAATGTTATTGCTTGAAAACTATATACTGTTTGTGATTTAAAACAATTGAAATTTAATTAAGAAATCTATAAACTATAATGTTTCTGTGCAAGGGCAGAATATGCATTTTTGCTTCTGTTAGTCAGTGTCAATAGATGAAAACAACACTTATGATAAAATCTATCAGAAAGCACAAAATAAAACTTATTAAGACTCATGTATGCCAATCTAGTTTTACGTATCACTTACCATTCTAAAATAGAACTTACCTATATGGAACTGAAAATCTCTTGAGGATTGAGATGTTCATTTTTCCCTGTGGTCACAGAATTAAAACATAAAGCATTTTTGTTGGTTGTGGTAGCATCTGATTATTTATTCTCTCTAATTTGCCTATTTACAAGACTATATGGACAAAAGACTCTGAATTTAAAAGGGAATAAAAAAATAAGTTATTTTTTTTATCAGTGGAACACTGACTCCTTTCTTTATTATTCCATTCCATCATTTGTAAAATAATTGGAAAATGAAATTCAAATAACTGCTCTGGAAAGGAAGAATAAATTTGCATTCACATAATGGTCTGTAAGTCTCTTATTATGCTACATATCTGTGTAATTAGTTTAATTATAACTAAATCACACTTGCATTAATTATATTTTTAACCTTGATTATTTGTAATGTTAATTGCACATTGGTATTCAAAGAATTAAGTAGGTAATTAGAAGCACAATAGAATTTGTGACTACCCAGAATGCTGGAGTACCCCTTTCTGCTCATGAAGCTGGGCACTGATTGCTGCAGCAACAGAAACACAGGGCCCTAGATGCTCACTGCATTAGAGCTTTTTAAATTTTTTTATTTTTTATCTCTTTCTGCAGTTACATTATTGGAAAAAGTCCTTTTTCTGTTTTAATGTTTGATTTATTAATTTCCATAAATGAATAAATGGATAACTTACTCTTGAGTACATATGTATATTTGCGCAGAACTCTTTTCAAACCTATGATTTTGGTTTGGTTTGAATTATCTCATGAGTTCCTGATATAATGACAGTAGTCACAAGTTGCTAGTCTACCTGTAAAGGATCACATACTTGATTTTTGATGATGATGAAGGGGACAGGATCCCCTAGAGATCACGCAGGACTCAAGCTTTCTGTGTTGCTCAAGATAACCTTGAATATTTAATCGCTTGTCTATCTACTTCGAGTTGTGATTACAGGTCTGTTCCCACATGCAACTTTATTCTGCCAGCACTGGGCTAAAGTTTGGGGCTTAAATTACCTTAGGCTAGGATATATATGGTCCAGCTTATCCCTGCTTTCTTTGTGACATAGCATATTTTCTAACACAGGAAGAATCAATCCTACAATATTGGGAATTGCAGCCATGGACTAAAATAATTCTAACAACAAAACTCATGATTTGCTGTGACTCTATTATTCACCAAGCATTAAAGGTGTCTATAAATTCTGAGTTTTACCTCGTAATTATAATGGCCTTGAGAAGAATATGTTAAGTCTAATTTTACTGACAAGGAATCCTGGATTGAGAAAGATCAAGTCATTTGCCAGAATTCAAACTCTAGAAAACAGTAGAGCTTGATTTTATAACATTTTATATATGCATTATATAGTCTACTTAGTATGCTCATGCATACAT